CAAAATGGCAGTTTGTGAGCTTTACCTGAGCCTGGCCTTTTTGCAAAAATACCAGGTGGTCTTACACACACACACACACACACTTGGGGGTCAGTAAGATTTTTTTAAATGTTTTTGAAAGAGACTCATGCTCAGGAAGGCTGCATTTATTTGCAGTGTTGTAGTCGAGACCACCTCACTCGAGTCCGAGTCGACACCGAGACCAGAGAGAGTCGAGTCCGTGTCAAGACCGAGTCCATAGAGAGTCGAGTCCGAGTCCAGTCCGAGACTAGATACGGTCGAGTCCGAGTCGAGACCGAGACCAGTGAGGGTTGATTACCTAATTTACTTTTATTTACTTAGAGAAATCCTTTTTTTTTTTTTTTACTGAATTTACTTAGTTTAAAAAATATGATCAGTTTAGGGTAAAAAGGCCACATAGTAGGTGGTGTTAAAAGTAATTTTATTACAATTTGTCATGTGCAGTTGCGCACTAGAAAATCACCAATCACTGGGCGTGTCAATCAATTTAAAGAAATATTTTATTAACATACATTAATAATCATGAAAAATATTTTTAATTGAACTCGAGTGGACTCGGGAATAATTCCGAGTCCTAAAAAAAAAAAAATGTTCGAGTACGAGTCAATTCCGAGTCCAAATGGACACGAGTCCATGACAAGACCAAGACCATTAAAATATGGTCTCGAGACCGAGTCCGAGTCTCGAGTACTACAACAGTGTTTATTTGATAAAAAAAAAAAAAAATCTGTGCAACTATCAATATAAATATTACTATACTTTAAAATAACTGTTCTTTTGTATGTAAATGTAAAACACTTTTTGGGATTATTAAAAGACTTTTTAATGTATTTTATCGAAATCTTTTAGAACATTATAAATGTCTTCAATGTCATTTACTAACACAGTCTCATCCCAGGACGTCTTTTGACCATACGTCAACATCCGCCGTTTTAGGGTACCCTTTAACGTCAGTTAGATGACATTATTGGATCCTAACCCTACCCCAGACCTAAACCTACCCCTAAACATACCCCGTCACCGACCTAACTGACGTTAAAGGTAAAGCGTCAGTTGTATGACGTCCCAGGATCGTCATGTAACTGACGTTAAAGGGTATCCGGCCTAAAACGGCAGATGTTGACGTATGGTCAAAAGACGTCCCAAGACATCAGTTATATGACGTCTTGGGATGAGACTGCATTTACTTTACTTTACTGTCGTATTGCGAAATCATATTGACCTCAAACTTTTGAAAGTTAGTATATCAGTTCTTAATGACTCTCTCACCTTAATGAATGGAATGCTATAAAACAATACAAATTACTTTCAACATACTTTGTGCTGGATTGTTTCATAGGAATTTAATTACAGATGTTTCTGCGAGATCACCATAATGTACGATTCAAAGTTTGCTTCTGAACATGGCCAAAAATGGAGAAATGAGAGGCTTGACACATCTCTGCTCAACAGAGACAGAGGCAAATGTGAACATCTCATGTCTAAACTGGAGGTGAGAATGCAGGACTTTAACTGTTCCTTTAGTTCATTTCATTCATTACAGAACATCCAGTTTCTGGATCAGTAAACTTAATGTAAATCTACAGACGTTTATGATTCAGCTGGAGGGGGGCGACAAACTGAGAGCAATGAAAAAACTTGAAGTCCCAGCAATGGACAAAACACTGGTAAGAACAAACAGTGTCACCTGTGTGTATGCTCCTAAATGAAACAAGTGGCTCTGAATCAGCAGGTATACTGAAAAATGCAAACAGATAAAGACTCTTTATGAAAAGCATGGCATTCAAATAAAATAGCTGACTTTAAAGTTTGTATTATTAACAAAACAATTTTTTTTTTTTTTCCTTTCTACTGTACTGTTACACAACCACGCATTCTCACCCCAAGGCGTCACCTTTGACCATGCTTCAATATTTGACGTTTTCGGCGCCGTTTTCGGCGCGTCACTTACATGACGCGATCCTACGGCGTCATCGAACTGACGCTAAAGGAAAGCGTCAGTTAGAGGACGCGGTTAGGTTTAGGTGTGGGGTGGGGGTAGGGTACACGCGATCCTAGGGCGTCATCTAACTGACGCTAAAGGGCGCCTAAAGCGTCAGATATTGAAGCATGTCCAAATGCTTCCCAAGGCGTCAGTTAAGTGACGCCTTGGGGGTGAGAATGGGCTGTACACAAACAAACAACAAAATAAAGTGCTATTGTAAAAAAATTGTTCTCTTATTTATCTAAAATCAGATGTTCTATTGTTAAATGACATCATTTGATTTATTAATTAACATGTTTCACAATTTTATTTCTCATCCGTATATATCATATGGTTTTAGTTAAAAATTATCTAGACATTTTTCTTCATACTTAGGATTAATAATAGAGAATTAAACTACAGAGGTATGAAATAATGATTTTTTTGCTGTTGAAGCCCTTTTGTACCACTGAAGTCCAGATTTTATAAAGAAAGAAATGGAAGATACATAAGCAATACAGTGCATTCTTTGAAGCCTCTTACACATTATAGTCTTATTTTGTTCTGTACAAAGAAAGTCGGGGTGTGGATAATGTTTCGGACAGGCTTTTTTTGCGGCCTCATCCTGGCGCTCCTTGCCATTTTAACCTCCAGAGGTTAGTAAATTTACAACCTCTTTCCTACTATTTCCCTTAACAATTAATCACAGAACCAATCTACAACAATGGTATATAATTTTCGATATATAGCTATGAGGGTCTCTATTCTATTATTAACCATTATGTGTGAAAAAATATAATTATGATGGATTTCAAGTCATCTATTTGCCAGTGTATGTACTAATGTCCAATATGTCTTGAAAGTGCTCAATGAAACAGACCTGGAGCTTCTGAAGCCTCAGCTAAAGCTTTACAAGGGAAGTTTCCTGCTGATTGAGTTTTTGTTCCTGATCGGACTGAACCTGTACTGCTTTAATACTTCAGCAATAAACCACAAGCTCATCTTTGGACTGGATCCCAGAGACCACCTCTCGTGCTACCATCTTTTTGAGGTGAGTTGTGAAATCATTTATTTGAGTTTGTTTAGTACTCTTATGATTACTGTGCTGAGGCCTCATATATTTGACTGTGTAATGCAGATGGCTGGGGTTCTGACTGTGTGCTGGTGCGCTAGTGTACTGGCTAGTCTTCATCCTCCTGTGCTGTCAATCCCACAGCAGCTCCACCCACTACTTTTTCACAGCTTGCTCCTGTTTCTGCTACTAAACCCCTTCTCCATATTTCATGCTCAGGCTCGTCGCTGGCTCATGGTCACAATGGTAAGACATGACTAAGATAGCCACAATGGTAAGACTTGACTTTTGATTTTATTCACTCCACTTTGTTTGTGTAGCTAACACAGTCTCATCCCAAAAAGTCATATAACTGACAGCGCATTCTCACCCCAAGACGTCACCTTTGACCATGCTTCAATATTTGACGTTTTAGGCGCCCTTTAGCGTCACTTACATGACGCGATCCTACGGCGTCATCTAATTGACGCTAAAGGAAAGCGTCAGTTAGAGGACGCGGTTAGGTTTAGGTGTGGGTGGGGGTAGGGTACACGCGATCCTAGGGCGTCATCTAACTGACGCTAAAGGGCGCCTAAAGCGTCAGATATTGAAGCATGTCCAAATGCTTCCCAAGGCGTCAGTTAAGTGACACCTTGGGGGTGAGAATGGGCTGTAACTGACATTTTGGGACGTATTTTGACCATACGTCAATATCCGCCTTTTTAGGGCCCCCTTAAACGTCGGTAGATGGCGATCCCGGGCCGTCATACAACTGACGCTTTACCTTTAACGTCAGTTAGGTGACGGGTTAGGTTTAGGGTTAGGTTTAGGTATGGGGTAGAGTTAGGATCCCATAACCTCATCTACCGACGTTTAAGGGGGCCCTAAAAAGGCGAATATTGACGTATGGTCAAAAGACGTCCCAAAACGTCAGTTATATGACGTCTTGGGATGAGACCGGGTTGGTGTAGCGAGACCCAGGTAGACTGTTTAGTGGTGGAAAACTTTCAGTGACACTCTCTGCAAGTTGCACCGTTAGTTTGAGATTAGCCAGTAGGTGCTGACAAATGTCACTGAATAATTAATTCAACCGATTTGATCAAAACAATTCATTAACGAATGAAACAAGTGACTTTGGGTGCTTCTCATTTCTAATTTGTGCATCCTTGTTTCCTAGTATGCAAGGGAAGGCTGCAACGAAAGAAATGAGGACAGAGGAATCGAAGGAATTGTTATTTGTATATTGGAATAGTCTTGATCATTCGAGCGTCACATAAAACCTCATTGCTGTGCTCATGTTGTTGAAATTTGGTTATTTAAAGACATTTTTAAGAAACTTTATTTAAACTGCAAAGGAATAGCATAAATTCAAATTACTGTGACATATGTGAAGTGGGAGGATAATTTATACAGGTTTCTCAAAAGAAAGACACACCTGTGCATCCTCGCTTATATCTCTGGAAGCTTCCTCACTCCTTGTGCCTCGCCTAATCATTATGCAGATAGAGGATTTAGATGTCCTTCAATATGGCTTTATTTGATCAGTTTCCGGTTACAGGAAAAAAAAGAAGCATCAGTTTGAGTATCGAGATGTACCCTTACTTTACGAGTGAGTAATTGAATCATTTATTCAACTGATTTGTTCAAAAACATGAATTTATTCAGGAACAAAACACCATTACTGTGTTCTAATTACAAGTTACTAAGTATGTTCTAATTATATATTACAATAAATAATATGTTCTAACCATATATTTTTATTCATTTACATAATTAATATCTTACAAAGAAATATGTTAGGAAAATAATTGCTTGTCCAAAAAACACTTGTTTAAGCTTCACCAGCTCCAGTTTGCTTGAGAACAACATGCTGGTCCACCAGCTAAACCAGAACTAACCAGAACAAACTAGCCTGGACCAACATAGAAGTCATGCTGGTTTGCTGGATTTTTCAGAAGGGTACACATTTGTTATCATAGCATTCATTTATTATAGTAATCATGAACACACCTTTTTTTAGCGCAAATATTTTTACCATTTACTGCACTTTGCTATTCTTATAGTTATTTACCTATAGCGGCTGAACAAAACACTCTTATTTTGCAAAGCAGAAGAAGCCAACCTCGGTGGACGTTTTAATGTTTGTGTTGAAAGCTTGTCTGTATTAATAAGTAGGGTAAATATGTTTCAACTATAGTGCCTTGCTATATTTTCTGTAAAATGTTTTGCAATAGCACATATTTTATCAGCAGTGGTCTCTAGAGAATGTATCGTCATACACAATGTCCTTATTTATACATTGAAATACCCATTTCACAGTGTAAGGTCTTGGCAGCCCCCTTCCAGCCTGTGGGTTTTTCAGAATGCTGGCTCGCTGATCAATTCAACAGTCTAAGCCCTCTGTTCCTTGGCTTGAGGGATCTGCTGTGCTTCTATCAGATCAACTGGACAAATATGTGGTCTGACAGCCCTCCATCAGGTAAGAGGGGCCTAATCTTAAACCTCTTCCATTCCATTCCATATTATATTATTTACCATTTTCAATAGATAAAATAAACAACAACTAATCACACCTAACATTCAAGATTTTAATATATTTTATATTGTAATAATTTCACATTTCATCTACAAATTAATGTAGAAACAACAAAAAGGCAGTAGCCTCTATTTAAAGGTGCAGTGTGTGATTTTCAGCGACATCTAGCCGTTTGGTTGCGAGTTTCCACTAAGGGCTCAGCCCACTGCTCACCCCTCCCTTTCGAAGAAGCTACGGTGGCTAAAACGGGACAAATATCTCGTCGCCTGAGACAGCAGAGAATAGCCAGAGTAAGCCAAGAGTGTCTAACATTGTCACTGTTTCTGTACCACAGTCCATAAAGTTTACACAGTCATAGTCAGGTGAGGATCAAGGTTTTAATACATAATTTAATTTAATAATAGTAATCAGCTCATTGTCTCACAAACGTAACCAGCACATTTCTCCCCACACAGCAAGCCCACAATACAGCGAGGGAGAAGAACCACATGAAACTATGCAGCTATATATTTTTTTAACAGGGTAGTAAAAGTTTAGCTGGCTAATATGAGCTGTTACTGTGGCTGAACTGGTTAAAGGGTAAAGCCTTGTTTATACTCGACCCGTCTGCATGAGCCAAAAGTGCGCGCGGCAAAAATGATATGATTGTCACAGCGAGCGCACCTCCGCATCCCATAGACACCATTTACTACACACAATAGGCTTTTTTCTCTAATTTTGAAAACTCTTCATGATCGGTTTAGTGATTCCTGTAACATACTGTTTTACGGTCAATGACATGAGTACTAATCAGCTGTCTCAGGAATGTAACCAGCACATTTATCCCCACATAATAAACCCATAACACAGCAAGGGAGAACTAAATTACATGAAACAATCCAACTACATAATTTACACCACTCTCGAGGGAAAAGTCACGGTGTTTATGGCCTCTAGGTTTCTGCTACTTCTCTTTCAAGGTAGTGACGAAACGCGTTCTGTAGTGCTGTTTGTTCGTTTTCGGCCACGGTAGAAACATGACGTCACAATATGTCGACCTTTATAGAAGGGGATGCCCGCGGTTATGTAGATATAAATGTCTCATTCTAAGGTAATAAAAACATTACGGTTTATTAAGTTCTTTATACACCACTGAAAACATATCATATTGCAATTCTGTTAATAGATACCTAACATTTTTACACATTGCACCTTTAATGGTATCTTTTTTTATGAAAGAAGGCTGGTATTACCGATGGCAATACTGCTATTGATGTCTTCATGAAATATTTTTTTTTCTCTATTTTAGCAATTAATTATAGACATTTAGCATTACAGTATAATTAAAAGCTTAAAAAAATCTGACAACTTTTAATTCCGATGAACTTGAATTAGAACAATCTTTGCAAAAACCCATTACAATAAATGAAGAGTTCAGATGCAAAAGCCTCTAAGTGCCATTTGAAATTTTCTTCTAGAATGATCATTTTTATCAAGCTTGTATATTTAAGTTCAGTGATTTCACTTAAATGGCAATGATAATTACCTATTACTTGTTATTTAAGTGAAATTACTCAACTTAAATATACAAGTTTGATAAAAATCATCATTAAAGAAGAAAATTTCAAATGGCATTTAGAGGCTTTTGCATCTGAACTCTTCAAACGTTACATTTACCTATGTCCTTTAATATATCAGGGCTCAATGTTTTCTTTTGACCCAGTCTGACCAGATCAGAAGAAGTAATTGTATTTATTGTTTTTGACTTACATATCCCAACACATTCTCACCCCAAGGTATCACCTTTTGACCATGCTTCAATATTTGCCGCTTTAGGAGATCCTGTGGCGTCATCTAACTGGAAAGTTAGTACAGGAAAGCGTCAGTTAGGTTACACGTGATCCTAAGGCGTCATCTGATTGACGCTAAAGGGCGCCTAAAGCGTCAGATATTGAAGCATGGTCAAATGCTTCCCAAGGCGTCAGCTGCAAACAGTGCTTTAAGATTTTTTTAGGTTAGTCAAACAGGTCGAATATACTGTATACAGAAATTGAATTGAGTTATCAAACACTACAGTCTTCATAGCATAAATTATAAATTAAATACTGATTAATCCTTATTAAAGCTACAAAAGTTACTTCGAAAAGAGCAATGAGTGAATTTCTCTTTTTCTTTTGTTCTTTGATTATCCTTAATGACAAACATCTTCAGATTTATTAGGTTGCTGTCACTTTAAGACCTGCCACACACACATCCCATTTTCTCACATTTTTTACGTTCATTTAAAACTTAAATTAACACATTTAAGAATGTGCTTGCGAGGACAAAACTTACTTAACAAAACAGGCATTTTGGCATAATATTGTGTGTTTTTCTAAGTGTGTGTCCATTCCAGCACTGTTTGAAGCGGCTTTCTGTGTGCACAAGTCATGTGTGTGTCACAGTCACACAGACAAGTGATTCACAGATGTGTGCCAGTCCTGCACTGTGTTTTCTTTAGTGTCTTATCGAGCTTGAATGGTTTAAAAACTTTTGCATAATCAGTACAGTGTGAGCTGGCAGTTTGTCCCTTTATGCTCTGATTAATATAACAAGCATATAATGCATGCTAAGGAGGTGATATACAGGAAGTAGTTTTCAACACCCCATTAAATAGGAGGGTAGGCACTATATATAAATATTATATTCTAAATATCATTATGTAAAGTTATTATTATAAAAACTGCCCAACTTAAATGTTTGTATACATATAAAGTTATTTTAAGCT